GGGTGTTTTGGGTGGCGCCTGCTGCCCCCTCGACCCGGTAACGGATAAGCGGATGAAAATGGACGGATGGATGGATGAATGTCAATAGCAATGTTAGTTGATATACACTCTAGACCACAAAGAAAACAGGATGCTTTGGTGTGGCTACTGCAAGGTTGAATACAAAAACCCTCACACTGTGTAGTGAGGAATCAAATCATCCATTTCTGTAACTACCAGGTTCTACTTTGCCCAATATATATATATAAAAAAAACCTGTAATCGCACGATTCTGATGTCTAACTCACAGTGAATACGTTTTATTTAAGTGCAGAGTACAAGATATTCCAGTCCAACGGAAAGGAAACCCCACAGTAACACCTTCCAGCTCCTCTGTCTCCAGCTTCCTTCATTGAGCAGGGACTCACTTCCTGGTTGAATTGGCCGTGGAACGTCTACTGTGAAGCTGTGGTATCTAGAGCCACTTGGAATCCCACAGGGGGAAACGCACACGCACACATCAAACAATGCACAGCTACAGCACATACCGCTGAATTAGCTAAACATGAAGTGGAACCACTGTAGAGGAAGCGGCGGCTCATCCACAGGGCCTCACTCTCCTGCTCTTTGATGATGAAACCTTCATCTTCAAACCTCCTCCTTCACTGATGTCAACACCAAATCAAACTGTGGTATAACTGATTGACTATTCCTGGTATAAATGTAAATGTGACTGACTTGACTGAGAATTCATTTATTATTCATCCATCAACGTTATGTTGCTGTTCATTGGTGAGTTATTTCTCTGTTTTTAACTCCGTATGAGATTCCTGATTTGAACGGGTGAGTTATTTCTCTGTTTTTAACTCCATATGAGATTCCTGATTTGAACGTGCTGTTTACAAGAAAGTTTGGTTCAAGAACGACTTTCACTTTTTGTAATATTTGGTCGACGTCACATCAACAACAGTGTTTCAGCCTGAGACCATCACCATGTGCACACCAGTTGGAACATAACGCACAAAAGTTCTTCATATGAAATTCACGCATCAGTAACTCTGACAGCTGGAACCCTCCTGGCAAATTGGCAGGTTTATGTCAAACAGGAAGTGGTTGAACAGCCTTAATAACAGGCCTGTTCAAAAGGCGTAAATGGATAATTAACAGACTTTTCTTCTTTTTCTTTTTTGAAAGCTTAACCCATTATTCAGGCTTGAATACAGTTTCTAACCAGGAGCCAGCTTCTCTTGTCATATAATTTCACAGTAAATGAGAACACTGCATATCATTTTGAACACTCTGCTAAAATGGTACACAAATTGGTAATGCATAAAATCCCACTGGAGTACAAGCACTTCACAGTTACAATCTGATACACCCTGAGAAGATGAGATTAATAATGCTGCGGAATTAGGTAAAGTAATTTAAGTAATTTTGTGACATGAGATTAATAATGCTGCGGAATTAGGGGTTTATTTTAAGTAATTTTGTGACTTGGTTTTAACTCACAGGACCGTAAATAGTTGGACCTGGTTTAACAGAAGTACTGGTGATAAAGTTGATGAAATCTGTTAATTCAGTCAGTCAGATGATCCTAACCTTAAACACACACCTCATACACATCACAGAGGGTTAATGTATTGGGTTGGAGGTAAATGAAGCCTCTTGGGGTAAAAAAAAAAATGGATTATGGGTGAATCAAAAATCTACACAGAGTAACTGGAGGCACCACATGATGCAAACTCCAACCTTTTCATCCACAAGTGACGCAACAAGACTCGAAATCTAACCATTCCAGGTAAAATCTTTCTACCAAATCCCAAAAACTTACAAAGAAGTTCACAGAACACTGTCAGATTGTCCACATCCAGAATATCTCACACACCGGTGTCAACGTTTAGTTAAACATCGACTCCTGCACACTCCCACTTTCCCACTGACGTGAACGAGACTCACAGTTTGCTGCAGGTCTGGGATGAGGATGCGGACGACCATGGAGTTGATGTGGATGTCGTCCATTCGGTGCGGCAGCGGCTCAGCCGTAGCCCTTATGGTCTCGTAAATGGTCTCTTCACGAGAGCTGTCAGAGGCACAGTCATCGGAATAGTCGGAGAAACTCTGGGCCATCTCATCTTCACTGGAGGTGGGGCTCCGGGGCATAGTCAACAGGACCGGTGGATTCAGCTGTGAGGCATGAGCAGAGAGAGAGAGAGAGAGAGAGAGAGAGAAGGTCAGAGCGGGTTCATTATACAGTCTTTGTGTTAATATGTCAGAATTCCCTCTGCTCCCATTAGCTAAGTCTCATCACTGTTGAGAGCTGCTCTCAAGTAAGGTGCTTGTTAGGTTTGTTCTTTAACTCTACCATTTAATGCAACCCCCGGAGAAGACACTGTTAGCGAGCATCTTCGTAAAACGCTGCCGCCTCATTATGGACACAGAAGTAGGAGCAGTGGAGAAGAGAACCAGTCCTGCATGGCCTACTGTGGCCCCTGAAACGAGGCCAACAGAGGGATTGCTCTGACATGGATTTATGTGATTTATGGAGCAGCAAATATCACCTCAACATCTCATCCCTGACGCCTAAAAGATCTGGATCTCATTGGTCGTTGGATATTATATATTCCTTTTTGAACGCTAGATGTTTTGCAATGTCACATGATTAAAAAAAAACTGAGTAAATAATAATAAGTTTCATCAAAGTAATATGGTGCCACCACCTGTACAGGATGTGAAGGATGGGAAATAATACAAGTCTGTCAGAGAGTATAGTAGAAATCTGTATGTTTGTGTGTGTATGTATGTGTGTGTGTGTGTGTGTGTGTGTGTGTGTGCAGCCACTGGAAGAAGCAATTTCACATAATTGCTGAATTAGAGTGACCTTTAAGGCTTTACGTCAGTATTGCAATTGTAACGGCAGACTGACGTGACAGTCATACCTACACATTCTTCTAGTTCTATTTCTATAAATCATTGACTGTGCCATTCTAGTTCCTGGCACAGAATGAGACCATTAATGAAAAACATACATTCATTCTGTGCAGAAACAACATCACAGTCTTTCATTAAAGTTCCTTTGAGAAAAAAAAAAAAGCCGTTGTGTGAACATAAACATCAAATAATGTGTAAGAAAAAAACTCATCTAGGTCGTTAATTGAGGTTTATACAGTATAAAAGGTAGAGAAAAAAAACATCAGGCTTATGACACCGAGATGTAATCAGTTCAACTGAATTTACACAACTGTGATGACAAAATTAAGGTTTAAAATGATGCATGATGTAACAAAGTGGTTTATGTTTACAAAATATAAGCTGCTCAGTAAAAAAAAACCCACAATTTTAGAAAATGCTGAGAATCATATTTATGTCACCAATAATGTGTTTTACCACTAGGGTTTGCTATTGTGCGCAAACAATACAATAATGCTAATGCTAACTAATCTAACATGACTTTAAAGACTGATATAATCAGAATGATCTGAGATAAAAAAAAAAAAAAGTAGAAAAGGCGTGAGTGACTGAGAGAGAGAGTTACAGTCTAAAAAATCTTTACAGTCACAATCTAAATCAGTCCAGTCCTGTGAATCTTCAGATTAATCAATAATCAGCGCACAGCTTGTCAGCAAACAAAGCAACAAAAACACACAAACGAGGAGTGTTTACATGTCACCCCTCGGGGTGGCTGTCACAAAAGGAAGCTTGTTAGCGTTCTCTGTTGTTTCCATCACCCTGGGAGTGTCAAAACAAAGAGCCAATCACAGGCTGATAATTCCTTCCTGTCACATATTGTGATAATTACAAACTGCAGAAATTAGCATTTTAATACATTCACTGTTAATATATTAGAAAAAAACAAACATTTGACAAACTAAGTTCAATTTTCTTAAAAAACTATCAGTGACCGTGTCAGCAGAAATACATGGGTTTTTTTTTTAATATTCATTTCAACAGTTTTTCATTCACGGAAGCAATTAAAAAGATTTCAAGTGAGTTCCAAAATGATCAGTGGAACAGGATTTCTATTGGATCCTTAACCAACACTTTAATCACAAAATGAAGAGAATAACTAAGTTCCACTGGGGTGGAAATGGAGTAAAGTAATTCCAAACATCCCATTAGTTAAGAGTACACCAGAGAGCAGACAAGAGAAGATTAATCTTTTCAAAAAAATGCATCTTGATGATGTACGGTCAACTTCAGTTTGGTTTTATGGGTGTAAATATTAACATTTATGTTTAACATAAAAAAAAAATACAGTAACCCAAAATAAATAAAAAGCACTTTTTTGACAGAAAAGTTCATTTTCTCTGCAGAAAGAAAAGCTCATAAAAATGACCTACAATTCCATTCCTGTCAAAGGAAATAAAAACTGAAGAGATTTTGCAAAAAGTTCCGTGCAGCATAATTTAGTTATTTAATGTATAAATTTAATATGATCTAGTCAATAAAAATATATACTAAAAACTGACAGAACTGATATAAGAATGACATTATTAATAATTAATGAGCTAAACTTGTCTATTTATTGATTCCTCACGTACAGTATTTTAATGAGCTTTAAATATGTGTCTCCTGGGCGTCTGTGTTTACTGTGGCGTATGAATATATCAATTACAGCACTGTTTACAGGGAAAAATGATCTGGGCCACAATGAAAATATACACATTTGCTTAAGTCACCTCTTAACCTCAGGTTACAGAACCCTAGTGTTTTTTTTTTTCTCTTTGGAATTTGGGTTTTAACAGAATTTTTTCCCTAAAAATGAATCTACCCGACAGGGGTTTCTCGGAGGCCTCAGAAAATTAGAGGGAAGATAAGAAAATGCAAATAAAAAAAAAAAAATCTAATTATTTAAAAAAAATTATAATAATTGCAGTAATTTGTCAGAAGTCAGGTCATTATTTTCTTCTGTTCTGTGTCGACAGTTTGTGGAAACGTTTTTTCATTCCGTGGGATCATACAGAGCTGTTTGTTGATCATTTTCTTATGGTAAACAAACGTAACAATTATTGTCTAGTTAATAAAGGTACAGTAAGAAATCATTTTTTCTAGCATTGTCTGTGGGTTAGCCACAAGCTAATGCTGTTTGGAAAATAAAAAAACATTAAAAAAGTCAGTGTTTGGAAGAAAAGGAGAAGGAAAACGAGAACGACAGGACCGTGAGGTTGTCACTCTGTTTGTCACTCTTGATAAAATGCCTGCACTGAAAATCCTGAGATGACAGAGGAGCAGTAACGGTGGTCCTGCCAGTCTGCCTTTGTGGCAGAGCGACTGATTGATCAACATCACTGATAGAGTCGCTATAACTAACGTATATGCAAACGCACCAGAAACCCCCCCTGAGAGGTGGAGAGGATAAATCACACTTGTCGTGTTGATATCATATAATCCATCTGGCTGTTGTTGTCAGTGGAGAGTAAAACATACTGTACAGTAAACCGACCCAGATCTGTCACTCACTGTTACGGAGGAAACAGGAGGGAAAAAAAAAAAAAAAGTTCTCTTGTGCTTTTACAGTTTCACTGCTCAAACACGTTGTTAGGCAACAAAAAATGTCTGGAAGCAACTAAACGCAAAGTTTCCCTTTACACCAGTGACCACAATCCTCTTGAAGGAACTTTTCTTTTTTTTTCTTCTTTTTTTCAAGCCTGTCGTACTGAGACAATCAACAACTGCTCTTGTGAGGAAGAGCAGCACAGAATCATTTCTGGCTCTGTTGTTGTGTGAAATGGAAAAACAAGACGGTACAAAAGCTGAGTTCATGCCTGGAAAGAGATGCACAGACAGAGATTTCATGAGGTGGTGGGCGGTGTAATTGAATATAAGCTCTAACCGAACACAGAAAGGTAGACTGACCTCAGTTATTGACACGTTATCAACAACGGCCTGTCTGAGTGGAGCTTAGAAAAGTTTCACTGTAATAATATGGCATTAGATTGAAAATACATTGATGGAAAACAATGACAATAAAGGCTGTTCTATTCTATTCCAGTCTAAAAAAAATTCAATCTAACCTGCAGAGTAGGAAGGTCCTGGAAAGTCCTTGTACTACACTGTATATGGATTCTAATTGCAGAAAATTATGTGTTTACATCCATTCATTCTCTCCTGTTATAAGAGTTCTATGAAGAATATTTTTTATCTTTATTTTAATCCCAATTTTTAAAAATGTAAAGTCAATTCAAACAAATGTGTTGAGTGTATTTTGGGTCATACATTTACACTTTTTAACCATGTTTTTTTTGGGGGGTTGACGGTCATTATAGTATTTATTTTCTGTACTAAAATAAATAGCGTAAAAATTCTATTGGGTCATACATTTACACTTTTTAACCTTGTTTTTTTTTTTAGGTTGCCGGTCATTATAGTATTTATTTATTGTGGCAAAGAACTTTATAGAAAATCAACTTTTTTTCAGTTGTTACTCAAACTAAAAACACAAAAAAACAAGCTTTTATATTACAAAAAAACATTAAAAATATGCATCTATATAAAACACAGTGACGTAACATACAAGTCAAACCTGACACACTCATGCGTCATCTCCTTGTGCTCCTTCCATAAAAGGTTGCCTTGTCATTTTTAACTAAAGGTTAGCTTCGCAACCTTTTAGCCCTCACAACAGGGGAAGGGGTTAAGGTTGTTGCCGGGCAACGGAGACTGGTGTAGAAGGAAAAAAAAAAAAAAAAAGAGAAATCCCTTTAAAAGACAGAAAGAAAAGTCTTTGAGGTCAGTCCAGGACAGGGCTTTGTTCAGCTGCTCCTCAGGATCCGTTTAATGAGCCCGGTTTTAAAGATGCCTTAACAATCACACAAAGTGCCCATAAAAAGTCAAGAATCTGATTTATTACTGTAACAGGAGCATCTCTTTATGGGCATGGAATTAAAAAAAAAAGTACCTGAAAGGATTTGACAGGTTTGTTGTAGTAGATAAACATACAGTGCTTTTGAAGGTAAAGGCACCGCTTTGGCCTAAGCAAAGATAATTTACTTACTCTACAGACAGGGGGAGCTGGAATCAACCCCAGCTGACACTGAGCCAAAGACATTTTTTTTAGTCATGAGCAGAAACTGACAGCTCATCATCTTATTAACGTCATCCAATAATCTGCTACAAATTGAATGACGAAGCGAAGCACGTGCAGCGATACTACCCTCTGTTGTTATTTTTTCCTTTCTATTACAGGA